GGAGTTTCGTCAACGCTGACTCATCAAGATTAAAAAACAGACATACATAAAAATCAAGCTTTATTATTTCCAAAGACTTCAAAGTTTAGAAGATAGACCCTTGTTTCACGTCATATGTGCAGAAAGTTTCAAAGTATAAATGACACTTAAACGACTGGTTTGGTGCTGGGGTTTATTTGTAGTTTGGTTTGAGTTTTTTGTAGTGTAGTGCTAACACTGGTAATTATTTCAGATACTTTCTGAATTTTGTTTGATCCTTTCTCAAACCCTTTGGAAGTTGAGAACTGTAATTTACATTTAGGAAGAAAAGTAGAGAGTAGGGAGAGTGTTGAGGAATGTAAGACTTGAACCAGTCAGTTTCTGAGTAAAGATAGCAATGTTCCAGGAATCCTCATCATGCACCAAACCGTCAGCCATCGTATTTGCTTGGTCAGAGCTGAAGACAGACTGATCTGGGGGCAGTTAACAGAACTGACCTCACTAATGTGGATATGCTCTTTGAAGTTAGTGACCCTAATTCCCTCCGTTTGCTGCATTGGCAACTTTAAATGTATTGTTTTGGTTCCTGACTTAACAAAGGCATGGCTGCAAAGCTGTTGTTGCAGTTGTTGTGGGTTTTTGTTTTTGTGTTGGTTTTATAGGTTTTTTTGCTTATAATTGCAGCAGAATTTGCAGTTTGAACCACGTGAATCCCATTTAGCAGAATCCTCAAAGTGGACACAGAGGAATGTAGTCAAAGGCTCGGTCTGCACTTGGCTGTTTCCTGGCATAGATATGATGGCTTGGGAAGCAGTTAGGAGGAGGACTGAACCCTAAAGAAACATACTCATGTTAGGAGTCATTTTCTTCATTGATCCAAGAGACAAATTCCATTCATAAAGCTGCTCTTCAGATCCGCCCTAAGGCAGGCAGCATCAAGACTACACAACTATGAATATCTGGCAGGTTTGAGAGCAGCATCCTTTCAGAATTACCCAGATTGTTTTGTCACTGGTCTTTGGAAAGAAAGATACGGGACAATCTTTTCAAAACAGCTGTTTAGCTTCAAAAGTGTAGTGTAAGGATATTAATACTACAGTTTGTGTATATATGTGTAATGTACAATGTAAAAAGGTCAGTTCTATCTGAATCCTCTTCCAGCTTCCAGGTTGAAAGCTGGGTGAGTATATTGACAACTGTTCTTTTCTTTCTCCCCTATTCATTCCAAATTTCCTATTTTTTTACATGCCTGGAACTCTGTTTCTGGTCTAGTACATTTAATCATCACCAGATTGTGGTTTGTTACATCCTTGGTTGAGAAGGTAGATCCTATAATATTATTTTCAAGTCATTGGAGCTGTAATATTGTTAGACCATGATCAAGTCAGGATTACTAGGAAATTATATTTTTACCAGACGAGGAGATAGATTTTGAGCAAAAGGAATACACTTGCCACTCTTCAAAGTCTTAAATAGAAGTAGCAATTTGAAAAGTGTTTGTCCGAGTTTAATTTAATAATGTTTAATTCATTTGGGTGATGGGAAAGAAATAATCATTGGTATCAATGTATTTTATTTTTTTTTTTACATTTCGATGATCATGATTTATAGAATGTTTACGTTTGTCTGCTTTCCATCTCTTTGAGTTCTGTATTATTCTGTGCTAACAGTTAATCAGGAAGAAAAGAAAGGCAGTTTTTATTTAATATTCACAGTTAGGGTATAGACAAGTGTAGATTGTGCAAACAGCTGGAGGAAGTTCCACCTATTGGCCCACCTCTGCCCACTTGTTGCTGCTTGTCTGCTCTAAGTATTGCCTCTTCAAATCTTCTGGTGGAACTGCTTTAGAAGCTTCTACTTTCCTGATGCCAGTCACACTTAGAAAAGTAAACCTTGGTGAGTGATCTTCAGGTCATGGTCTGTGGACTGCTTTTAAGGCATCTGTAAAAATTAAGTTAGAAGCCAAACCTGCTGCCAGGAATTTGCATGTTGTGTGGAATAAATATTGAGGTCTTCAAACAAAAAAGTACTGATGACTACCAACTTAGAGCTTCTGTTTAAGTGGAAGATGTTGCTTCGGTTTAAGTGAAAGATGTTGCTTTGGTTTAAGTAGATGTTGATAATTCTGCCAGTAAGAAGTGGTTTTTCTTGCTAACGCAATCTGTACTACTATTAAATGATTAACTGTGAGACAACAGTAGCTTTTGGAAAACCAGCAGGGATGTGCTGCTGAGAAGAGCTACCCAGCAGCTTTTTCTAAGGAAGAATTTCTGTTCTCAATTTTATACAGGGAGACTTTTTTTCTTCTTTCTTCCCTGGGAGTGGCGTACTGGTATTGAAGCAGTGGTACTGTCTTTACAGACAAAATAACTATATCTTGCTGTTTTAGACAGTCAAATCCCTTTCTGTCGTATATGAGATTTAAATGTTTATTTCATGTACTTCTGTAATGCAGAGTTGTCTTAAAATAATGAACTCATTCTGAAGAACTCAAAACCTCTTGTGAAGCTTGCTGAATGAAAACTTAAGACTTTGGGGCCGAAATACAGGTTTTTTTGAGGGACTGTCTGTGTCATTATGTGTAAGTAACAGCCCTTTCAGCACTGTTAAACTGGAGGGAGAATGGAAGATACCATTCACTGTGAAAAAATGAGGTGTGAACATGTAAGTTAAGTTGATAAGAAGATTGTATTTTCTGTCTAATGGGCATGGTGGATAATATAGTTGGAATATCCATAAAGCAGTGAGAATTTGAAATGTCCTGTAACACAGTTATCTAAATAATTAGTGAAACCTAAAATTCTTTGCAGCTGCCTAGGCCCAAAAAGGAATATCTGAAAAGACATTGTCCTTCCTTTAAGAAAGGATATGGTGCTATTGAGTCCATTCTTTACTCTGGATAAGGCTGACAGGTGCTGTTGAGTCCATTCTTTACTCTGGATAAGGCTGACAGACTTCAAGAAAATAAAAGGTCTTGAGGAGTTCTCATATAGAAGACTGTTTTGAGGGTACAGATTCAGAAATTTCAGTCAAAATTTGGAAATTTCATGGAGCTGTTTTGGTTTGTTTTTACAAAAATGTGAAAAAAGGCAGACATGTTGGAATCTTACCGTATTTTCTGGTAACTTGTTGCCCAGTTTAGTGGTAGCCTACCAGGTAATTTAGATACTTTCCTCAAACCTTTCCAGGCTCTTTATCCACAACCCATTAAGTGGAATTTTGCTGTGGTGTTGCTGTAGTAAACACTCCTTTCTTTTTGTGTGTGGGAAAAAATTGTTTTGTTTGTTTGGTTGTTTTTTTCCCCACAGAAAATTTCAGAAGTTTCATTTTACTATAAAAATACACTTTAAAAACCCAAAGCCATATGCAAAATGTCTCATGATTCTACATCCAGCTCTAGAGAAAGGATGAAAAATTAAGGCGTGTTGTAAACCTTAATGGATTATGCTGGTGTTTCTGTCAGGCAGTTCTTGTATCCCAAATGAGAACAAGAAATACAGTTCCACAGTGAGAGACCAGCTCAGCAGAGAGCAGGACAAAAAAGAATAGCGCAGCATCTTTGTAGCTAGATTGGACCAGAGATAGAGCAAAGTCTTTTTCTGATGTGGTTAATGTTGTGTGCTCTTTAGCTACTCCCCTTGTCTCCTTCGTTCAGCTAGAATTGATTCTTGCACAGAGTGAAAACACTGAAGGTATAAAGCATCCTGTGTAATATGACAGTGGTACTTGTGTCTTGGATGTAAAAAAAAAAAAGATATTTTTTAGAAATAAATAATAAAAAGATGTAGGAAAGTGGTAAAGTGGTCATAAAAAGTGGTCATAATAGAAGGATGAATGGTCATAATAGAAGAATGAATAGAAGAATGAGAGACAAGAGCAGGTGACTAAGTCATACATTCATTTTGGCACACTCCGTGTAGTGGAGCTAAGAATTAGGTGTAAGCAAAGAAACATGGCCTTGGTAAATGCTAAGTTTTGGGGAAATAAGGACAATAAAACTTCATTTTGTGTGATTAATAGTGAACAAAGGATATAAAAACAGATCTGGGAATACCATAATAACCATAACTCAAAATATTGGGCAATACACTGATTACCAACAGGAATCTAGATCTACTCCTCCCCCCCCCTCAGACAGAAAGGTTAGAGGAGTAGAGCAAATAGTGATGTTGAAAAAATGAGGTCAATTGAGCATTTAATAGGGTTATAAATTACAAGGAAGAGGAATTACAATTATACTATTTTTATGTTTCCTATAAGTAAATGATGATAATTATACTCATGGATAAAAGGCAGGCAGCTCAATAAAAAAACCCTCATTATTTTGGCTGCAGTACATCTGTTTTGCTCTTTACATTTTGTCTTGAGTGGGAAGAGCTATAGGATAGATAGGACTGGTTAAGAATGAGAGCAAGTAGAAATTAGTCTGGATCAGAGTTACTACTCTTAGTTGGTAGCTTAAAGAGTGGCAGGCCATTCTTATGAATTGTAAGGAGGAACGTGAGTTCGATGGGTGTTTATAGAGATTGCCCAAGACATGATTATTGTGGAGGGCAAAGAAGGTAATTAGGTGTGATTACAGGGTGAGGTAGACTTGAACCCAGCTGGACTTCATACTGCTGGTTTCTGAAATTCTGCCTGAGCAGACTCAGATTTTGTAGAAGTTTCAAAAAAGAGAGCAAGACCAAAATCCTCAAAGCCCATTTTTTTGCTTAGCACCTTTCAGAACCTTGATGTTTATTAAGTATTTGGCAGCATTTAGGTAAAAGGAAATGAATTATTCCTTTAGGTATTATATATGGGGTTTTCCCTGTGGTTGTGTTCTGTTAAATTCTGTGTAATAATCAGTTTCGCATTGTGTATCTCAACTTTGTATTCACTCTAGTGGATCACACTTGATTTTTTTTATTTTTAGGAAGCAGTTTTGAAAAATAGGTCAGAGTTAAGCTAAGACAGTTCATGCTTTCTGTAAGAAGCCAGAAGAATGTGAAACAAGTTCAAGATTTCTAAAGTGTGGTTTAATGGTACCGCATCCAAGTATGTTGTTCTTCTGCAGTGGCTAAATCGTTAAAACAACTAAAAAAACCTGTTGTTGCAGTGGGCTTAGATGGCATGCAGTAACACTTCAAAGTAGAGGAATACTTACCTTTTAATGTGATAAGCCTGCACAAACTAATTCAGAAAGTTTAAAGGACTGGGGATATTTCTTATTAGGGCATGTTACCAGGGGAGTCAAATGACACTAGTGCAAACTTTGGCTGAAGCATGGATTAATGGGGCTCAATTCCTACATTAGACGATGCCAAATCTAAGTATGTAGGCTTGACATTCATCTGGGTTTTGAATGTAAAATACATCTTTGTAATGGACGTTTGCACTTTTGGTTAAGAAAAACCCTGGAGCCTTCTGTCAGATACAGGGGAAACCCTGTTTTTCCCCATTTTTTTAAAAACTATGGCTACACTGATCCATCTTAAAAAAAAAAAAAAATCACGTTGTTGAACAACAGTCATTTCTGTGATGAAATATGGCCTACAAAACATGCCATACTCCTCTCTTGTGCTGCTTGGCATGGTGTACCTGTCATGCAGTAGTGTGGAAATCTGTGCTGGAAGGATGCATTTCCCCAGTTCAAATTCATATCCAGAGATGAGGGATGCTTTTGATATGGCAGCATGTAATGATATGGAATTGGGAAAAGGAGAAATTGTGGGAAAGAAGCATTGAATATTCTTTCTGCTGAGAATGACACTGCTGAGAAAATATGCCTGTGTATCCCTTTTCTTGTGGCACCACTTCCTTGTGCTTGCTGGTTAGTTGCTGACGACAGTTGCAAGGTTTCTAGGTTACACTGAACTAGAGTCACTCCAGCACAATCTTACCAGCACTTGGAGGAATAATGCAAAATATCACTCATTGGGAGTAAGTTGGCTGTGTATCAGCTTCATCGAGGTAATTGTCCATGTATACGATGCATTTATCTATGAGAAATGCAAGCTGTGAATCACCACATCTTGAAGACAAGTTTAAGGGCAAGGTGGGAACAAACAATTTTGCAGGAATTACTCTAGCGTTTGCTCTATTACGTGACTGTAAGATAATTCTGAAATACAAATACGTTAAAGGTGGAGGGGGAAAATAGGTGATCTTGCATCTCAGTAGATATGGTGTATCTTCTGTGAAAGAACACCATTAAGAGGCTTGCTTCAGTGAATATTTGAGTTACTCAGTCTTAACAGCAAGCATCGATAAGCCAAAAAGTAGATTGGTGGGAGGTGTGCTGTGCCCTTCATGGGGAATGGAAATGTATTATGCATGTTCAGTGAAGGTCCAAAGATTATTTTTTTTTTTACCTATGTGAGACAAGATATTATCACTTACAAACAAATAATAGATTTATAAGAAATAAACCATAATAAAATGCAAACTACGGTTTAAGTGTCCAGTCATATGTGCTGTAGTGACAATTTTAGTGTTAAAAATCCTTTTGTTTAAAACCCTAGTTGTTGGCTCTTTGTGGTCATGATTTCGTTGCTGAGATAAATAATTAATTTCTGTGCTCTCACCTATATTCATCACTTTTTTTCTTCAGATAGTTTAACCACATTCTGTTGCGTTATCAGGGTCTCTCTCGTGGTTTAACCTAGGTGGCAACTAAACACCACGCAGCCGCTTGCTCACTTGGGGGATGGGAAGAAAATTAAAGGGGAAAGGGGAAGGAGACTTGTGGATTGAGATAAGAACAGTTTAAATAATACTACTACAATAAAATTAAAAGTAATAATGATATAGTAATAATATATGAATATATATATTGATAATAATACATACAGACAAGTGATGCACAGTATCATGTGCCTGTCCCATCCCTACAAGTGATCCCGAAACAGATAAGTCTCAACACCGCAATCCCGGAAGAGTGAGAGGCCTGAAAACAGAGAGAGAGAATGAACTCCAAGAGACGAGAGTTTGACAGGAGACCAAAGAGTCTCCCCAGAAGAAACAGAACTTCCCAGTCAACCCTCCTCTGTATACTAGGCATGACATTGCATGATATGGAATATTCCAATGGCCAATTTGGTCGTCAATCCTAAGTCTAAATTCAAATCATTATCTAGAAGTTGTGGGCCGTTTGTCCCAGCTCTGCTCCCCTTCAGCCTGTTGTGCTTCTGCACGCTGGCAAAACATGGGAAGCTGAAAGGTCCTTGATGTCTCAGCACCAACTATAAACACTAGTGCATTATCAACGTTTTTCTCATAACAAACCCGTACTAAATCTGAAACACAGAGCTCTTCTAGCTACTAAAAAGAAAAACTAACTCTATCCCAGCTGAAGCCAGGACACAGAGGGGGGGAAAAGTCTTGAAAACTGATCTAATCTTTAAAGGTGAATAAATCAGGTGTCGTTTCTGTTAGGGAAGGGGTATACATAAATGTGCTTGTTTACGTATTTCAATAAATATAGTCTTTTTTCATTTGACAGGATTTGTCTTTAGTGAATCTGAATCAACTGCATTAGAACAATTCGAAGGTGGCCCTTGTGCAGTGATTGCACCTGTACAGGTAAGACACATTTATTATAGGAATGATTTAAAATTAGTAAGCCCAAAATTTATTCTTTTCTCTATATATGTGGAACTAAAATAAATATTTAAAAAATTGCAGATCAGTTGTATTTTAATTTCATAATTATAGTGTGGAAGAGACAAAAAAGTCAGTAAAAAGGCAGAGATGGGCTGATTTTGAACTATAATTTTGCAGAAGTGGATTTGTGTGAGGAAGTGCAGCAGGTTGATCCAAGCAGAGATAATTTTAAAGTGGGGAATGCAGGATAAAGGAGAGAAGTAAAAGATAAGATACAAGCATAATTCTAATCCTTTCTCATCTCTCAAATTCCATGTCCTTAAGAAGGGTAATGTCTGTGTCGCAATGGCTGCTTTAGCAAACTGTGTTAGAAATACTTTAAGTAATCGATTTTCAAAACTAACAAGATTTGCTATGTAAGAAAAGGAGAAATGTTATACTGTCAAAGTCCTAGTTAGCAGAATAATTGAAGTATGTTGGGTGAATATATTTTATTCTGGGTATGTGTTTAGGATTCCACTTGTGCTTCAGATACACTCAACCAATTGTGATTATGATTTTTGTTTTCTTACTCTGTCTTATCTTGTAGGCTGTGTGCATGCTGTTTGAAATGCTGTTTCTGGGGCAATTGACTGCTGTGTAGATATATGACCTATAGGCTGGATCCGTTAGTTCTTTCTCTGTAACTCAGAGCAAATTTTTTTGTTTTAATTGCAACATTAGTGTTGATGGAAAACAAAGCAGGGATATGGAGATGCATAGGTTTTCTTTAATCTTTCTTAAGATGGGCTTTTTAACTGCTAAAGGGGTTTGTCTGAGTGACTAAAGTTGAGATGAGACTGCTCATCAGTTACATTGCAAAATGTTTGTGCCTCTGTTACTGCAGTCCTGTGAGTCTGGAGATGTTTGTGTAAATATGCACTCTGTATTTGAAGCATGCTGAAGTTGGAACTCAGTAATGTTAAACGTAGGTGTGAGGCCACTGTTTTAGTTAGTTTGAAGGGGAAAAATCAGTAAACAGTGCAGGCTCAGGGTGGCTTTAGTGAATGATGAGCAGCTTGAAACCTCTTCTAATAACATGCAAAAATGCTTTGGTGTAGAGCTTGTGAAATAATGTAGAAGTTGGTGTTGTCTTGTATTTTAATATTATTTTATGCTTTGATAACACAGGCATTCCTTTTGAAGAGGCTTTTTACCAGCGAAAAGTCTACTTGGAGAGACTGCCCAGGTACTGAGACCTCTTTTTTTTTTTTCCCCCTTTATTTTTTCATTTTTAATTATTTGTAAACATATCCTAGTACAAAAAATTTAAAATATTTTACACTTCCTTTTTGTTTAAGTGTGCTCACATGACATTTTGAGGCCTACAGTATGTATACTACATGTGTCTCATCTCCCATTTGTGAGGTCTATGCCTCTTCAGAGTACTTCTGTGTTTTGTAAATATTTGATTGAAATCTGCTACTAGGAAAGGAAATGGATTAGAAGTCATATTAAAACACATTTTCTAAAGACAGCTTTATAATTCTTTGGTCCAATATAGTCAAACAGCAGTTAACATTAATAATTAACAAGTAATAAACTCAATTATTTTGTGGATACTAGTAGCTAGTATGAGATACTGATTAGCAGCAATTGAACTCATCTAGGTTTCTGATCTTTCAGAAGAGGAGCAGAAGAACCTTCTCTGTCATACATTATGTGATATTTTGGAAATGGCTTGCTCTGATAATTCTGAGTCGTACTCTCTGGCAACGTGGATAAGAGGAAAAACAACTGAAGAAACTGCTAGTATTTCTGAAAGTCCTGCAGAGTCTAGTCGTCAAGAGGAACAACCTTGTAAGATGTATTTCTATACTAAATTACCAGTCACTTAGGGAGGTATTATGTTGGTTTTGAGGTGCCACTGCTTTTTGTTATTACATAGATAGGATTTTTGCCTTTGTGATTCCATTAGCAATAGATGGATTTTGCTCTGTCATAATTAGAGGCATTGATCCTTTTTCTTGAAAGGAATGTACTGTCCATCACTGGAGTTCTAACATACGTGTTTGTCTTGAATTTGAGTGATTTCCATAATCTTTTCAATTTTGTTTTGTAATTTATTGGGACCTGATATGTCTTTAATTTGGAAAAATCTACATGCTTCCTAAGACTGGAGGAATATTTTAACTTGTCGCTTGTTGCTTTATTTCAGAAGAGCTTTTGTAGGAAATTCTGCAAAGCTTTGTCTGTTCTAAAATATTCTGGATCCCCTTTTACAGAGAAGTAGACTTTTTCCCTTTGTTTGGTTCTATGCAGTACCGAAATAGCTTAATCAAATCACTTTCTAGTAGATTAACAGAATTTTTTTGTAGGTTAGAATTTTTCAGTTACCAGCTTTTTGCAAGTGTCTTGATTCCTTCGTTAGGTACTGACATTAAGGATCTGGTGAACACCGTCTGTTGTACTAAGATACGGCATCCAGTCATATCTAACTGCTGTGGAGCCAGTGACGTGGAAAGTTTATCTGTGCACGCATGATCGTTGAGATGTGTATTTATTAGTCTTTTAATAGGAGATATCGAATGTGTTAAAAGATAAGCTTCTTTTTCTTTTAGTTTTTGTTCCCAATGTGTCCCTTAAGAAGTATGAAAAACTCTTCACATGAGAACATGCTTATAAAGGTGCCATCTTTTGATGGAAGGAGTATGTTATTCGGCAGTTTGTGGCATAACTACAAAGTAAGAATTGTACAAGTAGATTTATACGTGCGCAGCTAGCTATAGCAATTAGTAGTGCTGGAGCTCTTTATGTTACAAGTCATCTTCATCTGCTTCTATCAAATGCTCCATGTGCTTTAGAAGGCTCAAACAATAATAATTAAAATATTACTTAATTGAAAAAACATGAGAGTTCCAAAGTGAGCGGTTTTTTAATTAAGAAAAAGTATCATAAAGAAAGTTACATCTACAACTTCTATTTAAAAACAAAAAGTCTTCCTTTGCAAGATAGTAATGAGGCAGTAACTTCAAAATTCCTAATTTGTGTGGATTTTCCACTTGTCTCTGAAGCTTTTGCTGGTACTATGAAGCTTCCTTTGAGGAAAAAGTGAAGCACAGCCTAGTTGTCAATAGGCTTTTTCTGTCCTGTTTATTAATATATTGCTTTATTCTAAAGAACTTTTAACTGTAGGAAATGTTCAGCAGAAAGTCTTTCTAAGCACACACTCAATTAATAATTACTCTCAACAGTGACACTTAGTGAACTAATCCATTCTATTACATATCTACATTTTTCTCATTTCTGTACAAGTCTACAAGGTCTGCCTGACTTGTCCTTAACACCATGGAATGTGCTTAGGAAAAGCAGGATACATTTGCCATGAACAGTGTGCTTTTGTGATGAACAACGTTAATCTCTTTCATTGTTCGTATTCTGTGTTCTCTGGTAGACACTGAATGTACCTCTTGTATGTAGTCTACAGTTCAAAAAGTGTTTTCCTGATATGTATAATCTAATACACTTCCTGATTTATTTGTTAGGGTGGTGTTTTTTTTTTTTTTTTCTTTTCTGTCCTGCTATTTAACTATAGACCAGCTTCTTGCCTGGTTAGACTTGGGACAAAGATGTGGAGAAGAAGGTATTGTTAATAACAGAGTTCTGTTACTGCTAATGCAAAGGAATACATGTATTTCTTGCTTGGTTGATGTAAGCAGTAAAAATAGAAACAGGCATGGTCATAGTTGGTAGGACTGAAGAGATGAGTTAAGTGCGTGAGGGAGTATTACAGATACAATTCCACAAGGCAGACTATTGCTGTTTGGGAATTGAATATGGGAATATATTCATAATAAAACCATGAAATATGATTAGACACAGCATGATAGAGTATCATTTTAAAAGAGTTTCTATACAATTGTGTTTCTAATACAGCTCATGTTGTATTGCTGTTTGTTCTTTTCCTCTCCACTAAGCACTGTCTTTATTTAGCCTTGTTTGGGATATGTATAGGAACGCTTCTCTTTAGGATTTCTACTTCTTTCCCTTTATTTCAAAGAGTAGTTCTCTTACCATTTCACTCTGTTCTGTAGTAACAGAATGAAACTGCTTATCATCCTGCTGTGTGAACAAAAGGTGGATTCGAGCACACTTAACCGAATGCAGTAGCACTTTTCATCTGCTTTTGTGGTGTATACCAGTGACTTCTTGTTGGCCATGTGTTGGCTGTAGTAGTGCAAATTCCCAGGTTCAAAGATTGCTTTATATGACTTAATCCCTCTAACCTCCTGCTTACAAAGATGTATGTTCTTGGAGCAGGGTTAGTTCCTGTAACATTTTCTGCAATTTAGATTCATTGTTTCATATTTTTTAAAAATGCCTTAAAAATACATTTTCTTAAGTCTGGTTTTGCTCTTGGTAGCCTAATTTTAGCAATTCCTTGTATTTTTCGAAAGACAAAAGCTAACACTCTTTAGGCTACTGCTGCCTTATTTCTGAAGTAGAAAATGAAAGTATTCTATTGCTGGAGAATCTGTTGTATTTGCATGTAGGCAAATCAAATGCATCTTTCAAAATACAATCAGAAAGGACATAAAAAACCCTTTCTGGAATTCTTGTGGGAAGAATTGATCAGTAGTATTAGCCCTAATGGCTTCAGGTCTTTAACGAGTTGTATGCAGTCAAATTCAGTAGGTAGATAATCAGATCTTATTTAAATATTCAGCATTAAGTGACCTTTATCAGAAAGCAGATCTATCTGTTTTGTATATTATTCCACTAGCAGGAAGATAAAGTCTTTATGGACATAGAGGGCACTAAAGACTGCTACAGTCTTAATATTTGAATGCCTGTATAATTTGATATTACACAACTGGCGAATAGAACTACTGTTGGTAAAAGAAAATTTGATTTTATAAGTTCATTTCATCTCCTTGGTTTGGAAATGTTGTGAGGGGAGCAAAGGTATAAAGCCTGTGTTGAACTTGGGAAGACACTAATGCTGTATTTTTTTTCTGCCTTGAACGTGACACTTATTCGAAAGACTATTTATTCATTATTAAATGAAAACAATGAGAATTTATTTAAAAACAGGATGTGTAACACTGTGTAGAATAATTCTACTCATTTGTTTATAATAAATAAGCATTAAAAAATAGGGAAAAAAACCCAAAAATTCAGTAACAGCAATGTATATTTGAAGAAAAAATACAGCTCACTTACATTGATAAAATAATCCAAATAATCATGCTTGCTTTTCTAGGAAATAATATTTCTTGTTGACCTGCAAAATTATATCTATAGTATGCATATGCTTGATGACTTTGTGACAGCCATGGTTTGTACAAAATCAACAGCTTAGTATTTGACAAATATTTTCAAGTCTACACACTCCAGTGGCTTTGTGCTTTTAACAAAGTGATTAGTCCCAATAGAAATGTTCTTACTAATTTGTATGGTGGAATGTTAATGTTGCGGTAAATTAGTTTCTACTAATCAGTTAAAAAAATTAAATGTCAAGGGAGGATTAAAAATATAATTAAAGCTTGAAAGTATACTAGCTTGCTGTGTGTATCTTGTGTCATTTTTTTGCCATGTGTAGTGCTGAAAAGTGTCTCTTGTGTATAGCTGCCTTGGCTGTCGAAGAGCTTGGCTTTGAGCGATTTCATGCATTAATTCAGTAAGTAATATGTTGGAACATTTAAAATACAATATTTTGAAGTTACACTAATATTCACAGCCCTGAAAGGAGTATGTTGAGGAACTTTTTGTGTGTTACACATCAGGTTAAACTTGGGTTTCAAGTTTTGGTTTGGGGGTTTTGATGGTTTTTCTTTGCGTTTTACCATTTAAAATTGAATATTATTTTGAGCATAAGCACTAGGCTTTAAAGTAAAACTGGAGCAGTGTAATGTGTGGAATTGGCCAAATAACTTGTGCATTTCAAATATATGAACACAGCTAATTGCTAATTAAGATTCACATTTAAGTTAAAGATGTTAATCCTCAATTTTTGATATGCAGTCTTCACAGATGATTGTATCTGAAATACTTGTCATATATATACTGAAAAAAGTTGTGATCTACTATTCTTCCTGATTTGAGACAACGTAAAAAACATTTTCGAAAATGTTTCGTATACAAGACTGATTTTTGTTTCATACTTAAACACTGTGCTCTTTTTGGGATGTAAATACAGATCTTACAGTTCTAGTGAGTTTATCTTTAAAGGTAACAGCCTAACAGTGAACGATTGTAATCATTATACAAACAAATCCCCAAAGAGGAAATAAAAAGCAACAGAATTTCGAAAAACACTTGAGACAGAAAATGTTGCTAATTAGAACTGAAATAACTACTGCTTCTCGTATTAGTGGTAATTACAGTTTGTTCTTTAAACCTGTTGTCACGTGAGGAAAGGAGGAGGAGAATATAAAATTTCTGTAACCTTATCTGATCAAAACACTAATTTCCTGCCTTCCTCCTCCTTCCCACTCACCCCCTCAGTCTTTGGTCTTGTAGTACTCCCTTCAGTTTTTCTCATTCTTTCTCACTGGAAATGAATGCTCTTTAGCCTTTAGAGCAAGCTGAGTGATGGATTTCAGAACTGACTTTGCCTTGTATGCTTTGTATACTCCATTGATAATGAAAGGTAGTTTAAAAATCTCAAGCGTTAGCCAGAGTAAACCCAGCTAAAGATATGTTTTTGCAGATACTTGTTCCTTTTTTAAACAAGTTTTAATAAAATTGTGCAAAAAACTAAAAAGAAAATAATATCCATAAGTTTGTGTAAGATAAGCAGAGAGTATGATCTAGTTTGAATTACTCTATAAAAACTAATGTTTGTGTTCTGAAAAGCAGTATTTAGCTCTATATATCCCAAGAAATAAAAAGTGTATTACTACACTGAAATCTTGATGGATTTCTTCCTTTCCTCTGTTTTTATTTTACTTTTTTTATTTTTAAACATATGATCACCCGGTGTTACCTTATCATCCAGGCAGCACCCCTGTGTACAACCAGATAGTTTCCCAGATAGTTAGTGTACCACTCAGGGTTTTGAACATTTTGCTTTTTCCAAAGCCGGAGTCTAACAAAGTCAAATTCTCATGGGAAATGTAATAATTACCCCAAAAGCCTGAAATATAGTCTTACCTGTTTAAGTGGAAGGTTTTTTTTCCTCCACTATTTATGGACTGAGTGTCTTTCAGAACACTATGTAATGAAAACGTTATTTTGGTGACATACAGTCTATTTACAACTTCAGTAAGAATGTTTTGTAGAATTACTGGTTCAAGCCACTCAACTCTCACGAGTGTATGTAACTTTATGGTTAGTGTTTGCATATAAACACTATGTTCATTTTTGCACATTGCTCCAGAATTATTTATCTTCTTCTGATGAATAAATACTAATGACTCTATGGCAGTTATAGTAACTCCAGAACGGCTGCTATGTCATTCTGTACATCAGTTTTACTCTGCTTTTACTTGGACATTTTCATGTTAGGTATTAGTAGTTCTTGCTTGTGCTTTGTGACGCAATTCTAGTGCTTCATCTAAACACGTTCTCCTTTTCTGTTGTCTTTTTTGTCTTTAGCAAACGAGCATTCAAAAGCTTTCCTGAACTGAAGGATGCAGTTTGGGATCAATATTCAGTGTGGACAAACAGATTTGGAGTATTGCTCTTTCTGTATTCGGTGATACTGACAAAGGTTTGTGGGTTGTTTGATTGTTTTTTTCTGTGTGCATTTGTTTTGTTTCTTTAAGAGAAGTTTGATAATGTAACTCTGTTTCTGTAAAAGGTGAACACTAAACTCAGTGTTGCTAAACTAAGTCAAATCTAGATAAATGGCTGAAGTAGTGTCTTCATTCATGTTACAATACATTTCTAGTATAAAAGTTTGAAAAGCTCAATCTTTTTTTTTCCTTTTTTTTTTTTTCTGATCTGGGAGAATTGTGGATTTCGGAAACATCCTTCCTAGTATATCCATAACATCTTTTATCGAAAGAAAGATGTATGTTTAGGTATGAATTCATACAAGAACATCAGTCTCCTAATGTTTTACTGTTGCTTTCTGTTGTTGTAAATGTTGCAATTCCTTCCTTAAAAGAGCAAAATGTTTGTAATTTTTCTACAGGGTATTGAAAATATAAAAAATGAAATTGAAGATGCAACTGAGCCATTGATAGATCCTGTTTACGGTCATGGAAGGTAAGATGCAAAATATGGTTGCTACCACTTAAAATAGGTTAGTGGGCTAATTTTTATATGTCTGTAACTGATCATTCCTTTAGGAAATTATTGATATTATGACAAAGATTCAATTATAATTTTTTAATAGCTAAAAGCAACACTTAACATAGCATGCCTTTTTCACTTCATCAGTTCTGAGGAAATGCTTCTGTTATTGCGTTTTCAGAGGAAGAATTCTCAAATTCAGGGCTACATTTTTATATCAAGTTGTTGATTGAAAAAGTGGAGATCATATTAGGGTCGCTGAATTATAAATACCTGCTAATTAAAAGTATATTGTTAGAGAATGTCTGCTTAGCTGTCCAGATAATACAATAATTTTTTGTTTGTTAGAGATAACCACTTTTTCCAAAATAAATTGTATGTCTCTTTTAATAGGCTTTCTTTCTGTTATATAGCCAAAGTTTGATTAATCTCCTATTGACGGGGCATGCTGTTTCTAATGTGTGGGATGGAGACAGAGAATGTTCAGGAATGAGTAAGTTGATTCTGGTTTATTCTTGTTCATAATTTTTACGTACTATGAGATGTTGACCTATAGATTTGGAACGTGCTGTATTCCTGTTTTGGTAGTCTCTTTATTTACTGTCTTTTGATTTAAGCAGGCGTCAAATGGAAAGAAAACATACTTGCAAAAAATATCTCGTGTTAATATCAGTGAGTACAGGATTGTCAGCTACAGGTCGAAATTATAAGGTACCTATTCAGAGCAGCCACGTCAGGCTAGAGAAATGGAATGACAGGAACCTCATGAAATTCACCAAAGTTCTGCATCAGGGATGGAATAAGCCCCTGCAACAGCACAGGGCAGCACTGGCTGGCTAGGGAACACCTTTGTAGAAAAGGACCCGAGGTCCTTGCGAACAGTGAGTGGCACTTCAGTCATCAGTGTGCCCTTCTGGCAGGGAAGGCCAGATGCATCTTGGGTGACGTTAGGAGGAGGAGGATAGCCAGCAAGTTCCTTACCTCTGTCTGACACTTATGGGACCACAGCTGGAGTGGTGTATCCAGTTTTGGGCTCCCTGGTACAGGAAATACATTGACGTAGTGGAATGAGCCAAGATGATGCGGGGGCTTCTGCGTCTTTTGCATTTCATCTTAGAAACAGAGAAGATGATCTCAAAGCAGGAACATTTTGGATTCTGAAAGCATTCACATCCTTTCTCCCCTACTACAGAGTCCATCTCAGGTTCCTCAGCATGTTTCTTACAAGGATTTTCCATCTAAGTCATCACTGAAAATACTGACTTGAACTGAGGTTCAAGACAGATCCATCCACAATCTGAGTCAAAATGACAATAAACAAATAGTATAATCTCTTTTGAGACTTTTTAGACTCCCACTTGATCATAATTCCATACAGGCTGTACTTGAGCATCGCACTTTCCAGAATGTCATTTGGGTATTATATCTAACTCTTCTCACCCCTATTTGGTAGACTTCTCATCAGGACATTTAGATTGGATTATTGTGGTCTGTTACTGATGAGCCTGTGCTGGCCGCTTTTTTGAGTTTTTTGGTTTCGTGTTTGGTTTGGTTTTTTTTTTGTCCTTCCTTGTGTGTGCAAATTGATTACTAATTTGCTTCAAGACTCTTTGGAGGTTGAAGTCTTCCTTTCTCCTGGTTTTTTCCTCTAACTTTTTTTGTTGTTTTTGTTAGAGTTAAGTATCCTCTTTTACCTTTTCTAGTCTCCTGACACCTTCTTTATCTTTGATACGTAAGGTAATCATTAATGGTTCAGAGACTTATTTGGTCTAGCTACTTAAGCATTATGTAGTAAATTTCATTAGGATCTGAAAGATCGAATACATCTGTCTTATTTACAGTTTTTTAGCCAATTTTGTTCTTTTTCTGTGGCTGACACCATTATTTCATTGTTAATGTTCTCGAGCGTACATCCTTTACTTTTTTCTGAATTAAAGGAAAGATGGCTTTGAATACTTGTATTTTCTTTGTGTCTTTTGTGTTTTATCAGTCAATTCCTACCCTGATTCATGCTGCATGTATAGAGCATTGTTGTCATTTATCTCCCCACTTCCTAACTGAAATTTGTTGTAATTAGCCTTCCTGGCTTTATCCATATGTTCTCTTCAGTATTTTTAATTTTCTCTTTTTGATTTTTAGATTATGATTTATCAGTCTATGTTGTTAGATTATGATCAATCATTCTGAATTGTTCTTGCAACTTTCCTTTACATTGGGAAAGTTTCCCATTCTGCAATTTAATATATCTTTTTTTTTAAATCTTGCAGTTCATTCCCTCATTTGTCTTTCAGATTATCTTTCTGGTAGACCTTATTCATTAGTTATCCAAGTTTTTTTCATTTCTGAGAATACTGAACTCTCTTTGCACACAGTAATATTCCACATTTAGATTCTCAGTCAGTTTTGCCCTAAAAATCCGGAACTCTCGTAGAAACATGTCTCTTTTTGTGGGGAGAGGAGGAGCAGAAAATAATCTTTAATAAATCTTAAGAATCTGATTATGTGCCCTGTTAGTTTTTCACCAGTCAAGTGACTGGATTTAACTCCTGTTGGGAGCCCTCCATTTTCTTCAAGTCCTTGGGATAATTATAGTCAAAACTAGCTTATTCACTGTCCTAAGTCTATAATCAGTATCTATTACAAAGTGATTTGTGTATTCTATCAAGAAGGACAAAGAACAGCCTGTACTATTCATGACTTCTTAGGCAAGACTGAATTTCGGATACATTGTCACATTTCCTTTATCTGTCAGTCCTTTTTGTCATCTTATCTTTTCTCCTTCAGTGATTTCTCCTGTATTTTGACTCTCTTTGACTGTAGTCTTCAGCTTCCTTTCTCCCAATACTATGAGTTTCTCATGTAGAAGGGTCACAGGTGTCAGAATAACCAGAACTGAATGTGTGTGCTGACTATTTTCTGCACTTGCCTTTATGTATGTTTTTCTGGTTGGGTTACTGGTCACTTGCCTTTAAATTCCTCTGGTAAAGTGACTGCAAGTTGGAAGGTTTGACATTAGTGTTGTACAGAGTTGATTGCCAGCGCTGCTTGATTTTTACCGTATGTAAACGTAATGGAAAGAGATTTCGGGTACTTCTGTGATTAGATGTAATCGGTAGGTGAACTTCTGAAACTGAGGGACAGGAAAGGTGTCCCTGGGCATGGGGGAAGGGTGGTGCTAAGGAACTGCAGGAAGCAAGGGATGTGATGTGGTTTGTGGTATATTTGCAGAGGCAGCAATGAAGCAGCAGTGAGAAGATGCAGCCGTAATGCAGGAACAGAAAGAATGCTAGATAGGTGATGCTGTTATCCTAAGTAAACACGTTTACCAAACTGAATTTTCAAAATGCCACTTCCATTTTTATTCAGAGGTTATGTAAAGCCACTTTACCTCTTGTTCAGCTGTTTACATAAGCAATTTTTAGTTAATAAGTACATATTTTAAATTATTCTTAAGCCATTTTAAAGTTACTGTCAGTAATTTTATGAGTGATAAAGAACATACTGAATTACAAACTTGAGGAATTACCAGGTAGTTTGCAGATTGTACTCTGAGCTCTGCCTCTAATAGTATTGTGTATTTTCCAAATAGGGTAGGAGTTATTAACTGGAATTGTTCTTGGCTACCACTGCTAGAAATACCAGTGAAATGATTCCTTTTCTTTGACTATCTATATATTCCCCATTAAAGTTTTCGTCTTATTCTAATCTCTTCCACATTTATCCACGGTGGGAAGATATAGGGAGATAGATTTTTTTTTTTTAATCCTTTTTTAAAGACTCTCATTCTTATGTGAATTGTAACTATTTAATATGAATACAAATAATGCTGTAACTGTTTTTTCCAAGTAGTGCCAAGAATTTGTGTTGTTTTGTGGTATCACTAGGTGGCGATATTCTGATACGGTTGGTAACAATATCATTGTGTTTAAACTCATCATTAGTTTGGGCCTTACTTTTTTTTAAAGGCTCCAGTTTTCTCCCTTTTTAGAAATGTGAGTACTTTGCAAAAGTGCTTTAAAAAAAGGAGGAACTAACTTTCTGATAAGAGGCATACGTATTCATTATCTTAGATGATCTTTGGTGTTACCAGATCTCTTCCTGAGGTATCTTTTCTTTCTGTGGGGTGAGGATATTCACAGACATGAACTTTATTTAGGGCAGCTAGCCTCCCTTTATTTCCTTGTAAGTCATTTGAGAGTGATTTTTGCTTTTGCATCTGTCTTTTCTGTTGACTAATTCTGAAGGAGGCATGAGTAAACCAGTGACATTAATGACTAGGTTAAAGTTAACCTAATAGCTTTCAGATACACTATGTAGTGTGACTACTAGCTATTCAGGTTATTCACACTCTGCAGCTACTGTCATAGCCAGGATCCCAGCTCTCTCTAGTTATCAGTCGGAGTTCTCATCTAGTTATCTGTCAGGGGAGCAAACTACTTAATAATCTGACTATTTTTTTCCTGAATCGTTGTCTGAATAGTAAATATTATTTATATGTGACTTTGCTGTTCTGTTTCAAGCATCAGCTCCTAAATCTGAAGCCCTTGTTTAGCAGACTGAACTTTACATTGATATTTGTTAATGATTTTTAAGAAATGCATGTAATGTGTTAAAATTATTTCTTTAATGTGCTCTTGCTTATTTCTGCCATTCATTTCTCTTCATTACACATATAAATGTGCTATTTCTGAGCAATAGCTATTGCTGAGTTTGAAGGATTCTTCACTAGTGTTTTGATTGGGCTAGCTCTCTTGCCCTCAACTCAAAGAAAGGATGAATTGTATTGGCGTATAGCAATTTACAGCAAGACAGCTATAAGTCAGTGAAGTAATAGAGTTCTGTGATTTATTATCTATGCATCCCTGAATGCTTTAATTCCAAGCAAGTTTGAAGATAATCCTTTGTTTCGGATCAAAGAATTCTGTGCTGCAAAGAGAGTCTTTTAATACATATAGCTGACAACTCTAAGGAGGGAGTTGTACTTACAGGTCACAAAGGTAGTAAAGAAGCTAGTACTTTTAAGAGGTTTGGTTTTGTTTCGTTTTTGAAGGGTTTTGTTGGGGTTTTTTTGCTTAACAGTAGAGGAAAATGTTAAACCATTACTATAATAGCTGTTCTGCACTGCTGCAAAAATTCAGAGAGGTAAGTTGGTGAAAAAAGCATGGTTTGCCATGCCTAGTGCAGTGAGTAACAATGAAATGTGAAGTTGATTTCTGGAAGTGCAGAAATCTCTTAAATTTAGAACAGTTTTTCACTTGCTGTGGTCCTGAGGTTTTAGCCCGTGGATAAAGACATCATAGTTTTGTGCTGTTGTACATGAATGATCAATATTTTAAAATATAGTTAAGAATTAGTGTTTTAGAAGGAACTTTCAAATATGAAAGTCAATGTTCTCTGAAAAAAGGAAATACAGATCTTGCTAAATTGATCGTGATGTCTATCCCCATGTGTATTTGCAGGATCGGGTATGTGCTGCTCTTTGTGTAGACAATGTCGAGGGACCTAACAGAGCTGTTTCAAGTAGACAGTACTTGCACTGTTGAGATGATATATACGTAAGCCCAGAGCTTCTTCAAATCCTTATGATTATAAGTTGTTTCTAAATCTGAATGTTGAAGTGCTTTCTCATTCTTTATTAGAGGTCCTCAAATGGGACTCTTAAGTGCTCTACCAATCAGTAGTACGTAAATATTTCAACTATTGCTGACAGCTTTGTGTGTTTGAGAGCTGTATGATACATAAAGTGGAGGTCAGTACAGAAAATCAAATTGAGTGAGTGCTTTCTTTCCTACTGAAACAAGTATTATTTGCAAAATTATGTTTTATTATTCAGAATGTGAAATGGTAAAGATAAATATAACCAGGGAACTCTTAAACAAAAAGAAAGGAAGTAAAAAAAATAAACCAAACATATATGCCTGTATATGTTTTTGTCCCCTTCAAGATAGCTGCTTTTCATAAATTTTTCTGAGGATAATTTGGATGTAAGTTCCAAGAAGTTCATCTCCTAATAAAACTAACAGCTTTTGAAAAGAGGCTATCGACAGTGAACTTTTAAAACCATCCATTTGGCTTTTCCTTTATACAGAGGGAAATTATTAAACCTTTGTAGTTTTTTGACTATAACTTGATATTGATAATAGTAATTGCCATTGTTGCTGAAGCTGCATAACTTTTGAAATTGTTAATTGACCAATTTTGAAAGTAAGAAAAAATGGCTTAAAAGAAGCTTTGCAGATTTTTCTTGAATAAATTTTGTGTTTTATTTTGAACAGAACTTCTTGGTATACATAAACAGGCAACAATAGGCTTTTTGACATTGATGGAATCTCTGAGATATTGTAAGGTAAGCTGTTTTCCGCATCAATTAAATTTTTTCTTTCATTAAGGTATTGTGGGCTTTTTTGACAGTATTACTAAAAGCTTCACTGTATACGGTTGGAGATATTAAAGAACTTTCAAAGTATATTCAACTTCAAATTAAAACTGAGAATAATACTGTATTAAAAGAGATTATAATAAAATTGTTAAATGCATCTTATTGAATAAATGTTGTTTGATGCTATTTAAATTAGAACTTTATTGCACCAATTTAATACAGCCAGTTAGAAGCTTTTTTTACTAAAATAATGTTTAATGCAAGTTATGTAGATTTATAAAGCTGTCAAGTCCCAAAATGGCTTGCTATTTTGAATGTTGCAGTTTTATTGTTCACTTTTTATGCTATCACTGTCTTCCATTTAAAATAAATAGCTGTAAGTAAAAATGGGAAAACTGTTATTAAGTAAAGGTATTCTGAATATAATATATTCAAGACCTAAAAGTTACTTTATGTATTCATCTGTGAACATCTGCAAGTAACTAAAGTGCAGCCCAGTCCATACTGTTTCTTCCTGTTGTGACACAGAATTTCTTGATTTAAGGTTTTTATTTAAGAAATTTTGTTCTTTACAAATACTGCTTTTGTAACAGCTTTAATACTCTTAATTTCAAAACGCTTTTTGGTTGTTCTTTGCTTCCTTTTCAATTTCTGTTGAATTCCTTTAACTTAGCTCAGGGTTAAAGAGGATTATATAGTTTGCAAAATGTTGGTATATTGATTGTAAATAACTGTCCCTTCATTTATTAAATAAGTATCAATTCTGAATTGATTCATCCAAAACCAGCTAATAAGTCAAGTGGACTTTGACCTCATTTAGCATCTGATTATAGTATTATTAAGCATAGGAGTACTCATTCGTGTGCAGTGTTCAAAGCATGTCTCCAAGGATGAAATAAGGAATTTTGCTGATACTGCCTTCTCACTGATGTCTTATTTCAGTTAATTATCATAAGCTATATTATTTTCCAAGTCAAACAGGAATCAGTGATCAAAATCAGAACCTAAGTATTTTATACTGTTTTGTCATTTTATTGAATGTTTTATATTAGTTTTCAGAGCAGTTGGGATTTCACTAACTGAATTGTCATTAGCTTGATCACTGATTAGATGAGTTTTCTGGATTTGCTTTGTGTTTCTGATTTTGTTGTCCTTTTTTAGGTTGGCTCCTATTTGAAATCTCCAAAATTTCCCATTTGGATACTTGGCAGTGAAACACACCTCACGGTCTTTTTTGCCAAGGTATGTTATATGTGATTTTTGGTAACCTTAGGCAGATAAAAACCAGATAAATTCAAAGTTCGGATCTTGCTACAATGTGAGTTTCATGTGGCTTTAATGTGAAAATATGGTCGTCAAACCTTTTAATTAAGCCTTACCTTGAAGGCAAAGTTGTTCAAATGGTTGAATATCTCATAAATTTTAGTGAAGTCTTTCAGTTCTATCTTAATTTATTGGGCTGAGGAAGGGTACACTTTAGACACCATAATTGGAATAAGTACTGTCTTTACTTTCCATAGAGCAAGAGCGATACAAAAGGAAATTGTTACGTGCAGGTGCCTGTTAGTAGTTTAATCTCCTAACAGTACATTCACAATTTTTAATCTGTAACCACAGTTTTTTGTTCTAGATTAAAAATAGATAACAAGACTGTTATGATAATTCCTTGTATTTATTCTGTCAGCTATGTACTGTAATCTGTGAAACATATAAAATGCTTTTGAGATGGATTCTCAGTTTAAAATCTTAGACCAAATTTTATGAGGAGACAATTTCTGTTTCTTTAGTTGAAATTTGTAAGTTGTTTTCCTTACATTTTTTTTATTTCTATACAATACTGTTTCTGATTAAAAAATATTTATTGAAACTTTAAATGGTACTTACTAGTATATTTATTGGTACTTATTAGGAATGAACTTTCCTGTACTTAGTATCTTACAAATGAATGAATATTTTAGATACAAATCTTGAAAATAAGTGCTAGAAGATATGACAAAGTTAAAGCCCTGATTTCTTTAGCTGTTTAATTTCCATAAGGAAAAGTTTGGCCTAATCTTTAAAAAGACACAAAAAAGTAAGAGATTTTTCTTACAGAAACAAACAAATGAACCCCCACAATACATTGGAAGTTTATGCGTAGCAGTAATTCTTTACCTTTAAATTTAAATGAAAAAACCCTGTAAATTAATTATGCTATGTTGTGCATCGAATATTTTTTTGCATATTCTGATGCAAATGCTATACCAGAACTTCCCTGAATTCCTTGTGTCTGATAAATGTTCTTTCTTCCCTACTCCATGGTAATAGAAAAATATTTATCCTCCTTTGGATGTTTGTTTTCTACCTATTCTCTCCCCAAAAAGTCTTTCATAGAAAAGTTTTTTAATTTCAATTTTGAAATTTTATCCACATTTTTTCTGAGTTATACCATTGATGTCAGTACCTTGTCGCATAGGTAGCAGTCTGATGCAAATAGGCATAATCACTCTCTTACACAAGTGAAGTGTACCTGTCCAGAATGTTATTACACCTTCTAAAATTTTGTGTCTATGGTGACCATTTCCAGGTAGATATCCTTTTCTGATGCTCTTTCTTTTAGGATGTTGAGGACTCCTTGCTGGTTTTAAAGTAACTGAGTGTCAGCATCTGGTGCCTCCAATATAGCTTGGTTACTCTTTCTTCACTGAACTCCTCTGTGGAAGGCTTCAGTTTGTGATTAATGTCTTTGAAACTGAAAAGCTTGAAAAGGAAGCAACATGGGCTTGGAAAAGAATTTCTCATAAATTATTTTGGTGAAAAGTAGTAGGAGCTGAATGTGTATAAAAGTTCCCAGAGTCCTTGAATATGTGCTTTGCTCGTCTGACCTCATCCTTTCTAAAGTAAAGGTTGGTAGGCATTTCAGGTGGAGCAGAGATGTCAGCTACAGTGGAAATTTGAATCGTGTCAGCAATCCGTTATTTTGTCAGTTGAAGCTACATACCAAAAACTACAGGAAGAAACTTGCATTCATTGCTAATGGTTAGTGAGCAAGTTGTTAAAGTAGTGTATGTAGTTGTGTAGATGGTTCTTGATACTGAGGATATAACTTCTAGCTTCATGGTGAGTTTGATTACATGAGAAAGACATCTTCAGAATGGAAAGAGGAAAACGGAGCATGGAGCCAAAAGCAGTGCAGATTAAGTTTGAAAAAAAACAAGTACAGCTTTAATTCTTTCAAGATGCACATGATTTACAGGAGTCTAAACCCTTAAATAGAAGAACATTAGGCAATTGTTAAGCAGAAAAGTAGTCACTTTTGTCATTAGCTGAGTAATTGGGCCTGGAAACCTGGAAAAAAGCAATCTTCCTAGGTTACTGTCACAACGGGCAAGTAGTATGCGGGAATTAAGGAACGGGACAGAATCTTCATTGTGATCTCAGGGACTTTTATTGAGCATGCAAGTTCAACAAGCAAAATACCTTACTCAAATTCTGCATGCCACCCTACTCAAAGAAAGTTGGCTTCTGTTCTTTAGCACTCAGGTGCTTCACTCAGATTTTTACATTTGATGTGGAGTACAGCAATAAACGTGTCCTCTTAACTGTGGAATCATAGAATCATAGAATCGTTAGGGCTGGAAGGGACCTTCAAAGGTCATCTAGTCCAACCCCCCTGCAAGGAACAGGGATATCTCCAACTAGATCAGGTTGCTCAGGGCCTCGTCCAACCTGGCCTTGAACGTCTCCAGGGATGGAGCATCCACCACCTCTCTGAGCAACCTGTTCCAGTGTTCTACAACTCTTATGGTAAAAAATTTTTTCCTAATATCCAACCTGAATCTACCTCCCTCTATTTTAAAACCATTACCCCTTGTCCTATCACAACTGGCCCTCCTGAACAGCCTCTCCCCATCTTTCTTGTAGGCCCCCTTGAGGTACTGGAAGACCGCTATGAGGGCACCCCGGAGCCTCCTCTTCTCCAGGCTGAACAGCCTCAACTCTTTCAGCCTGTCCTCATAGGAAAGGTGCTCCAGCCCTCTTATCATCTTCGTGGCCCTCCTCTGGACCCTCTCCAACTGGTCCATGTCCTTCTTATGTTGGGGACTCCAGAACTGGACGCAATACTCCAAGTGAGGTCTCACGAGGGCAGAGTAGAGGGGGAGAATCACCTCCCTCGACCTGCTGGCCACGCTCCTCTTGATGCAGCCCAGGATGCGGTTGGCCTTCTGGGCTGCAAGAGCACATTGCCGGCTCATATTGAGCTTCTCGTCCACCATGAAAGATCATCCACCTTGCTTTCTATGTCAGAACATTTTGAATTAAATGCTATAGACATCTGTTGCTGCCTGCCAGAATATATTTGTATTACTCTAAATGTGGACCGTTCTGCTGTAGCAGAAAAATATTAAGGAAATGTTTTTCAGTCATACTTTCAAAAATAAATAAATCTGTCCATAGCTGCCATTCTAAAACTTTCTACATTTTCAATGGATTTTAATGAATAAGCAAAATGCAGCACAGCATCTTTGGGCTGAAGGTCACACTTACAGCTTAAAGTGAAAATTAAAAAATTAACTAAAGTGTGTAATTGGGCTTAACTTCTCTTGGAACTGCTGCTGCATGAAATAGCCTTAAACAGGGACAGCTGAGTCAATTCCTGGTTTTAACAGAAGTCTACCAGTGCATCAGCAGTTTCCCCCATTACTTAAATTTTATTTATAGAGATTTAATTTATTATAGAGATTTTATTCTGTCTGCATTGTCTTCATCTCCACATCTTGATTGTCAAAACTCATTCGGTATGTATGGAAATATTGTTAGCCTCATTTTACTGCAGGGAATTTGAGGTAGAAAGAAATTACTTCAGAAATAATTTCTTCTTTAAAACAGCAATTTTGATGGAAGTATATTTTATTGAAGAAAATATTGGTAGATTTTTTTCCTCAGACTTAGCTGGCCTGTCACCAGCCAGACAGTCATTTACGAGGGGGCAGCCACACAGACACAAGTTGAAATGCAGTGGATAGTCTCTTATGTCTTATTGTGGGTTCTTCATAAGCAACTAAATCTGAGCAGCCATCATTTCTGCCTCTCCATAGCCTCCCTTCCTTTCAGTGAATAAGAAAACTTTCAAATGGCCTCAGGCCAACAAAAATAAACAAGGAAGCTTTCATCTGACACACCAAGTATCCCTGCATGGTCTGTCAGATGGTGCTAACACAAATAGACAGCATTGTAAATGTGCTAATGCAAATAGAAAGCATTGTAAATTCCTCTAACAATCAACTTTAAAGTTAGTCTTTTTTTTTTTTTTTTATATTGTAGG